AGAGTAGAGAGAGAGAGAGAGAGAGAGAGAGAGAGAGAGAGAGGACATGGGTATGTAGTTTGCAAGTGTTTTCATGTATTCATGAGAGAGAGAGAGGTTCACTGAGTGAGCTGCTTTGATGTTGCAGGAAAGTTCCTAGAGGTTCACTGAGTGAGCTGCTTTGATGTTGCAGGAAAGTTCCTAGATTCAGGAGACCAATGCGTTACAGGCCCTACTTTTGAGGCGGCCTAGGGCAGATCATTGTGTTTATCCTTTCATAAAGGACTGGTGACATGATATTGTTGCTAGAGCGGATTTCTTAGGGCTTGGTGGATACAGCTTGCTTGGATTTTGAAGCTACCACCTTGTGTCAGCCATACCTCTATTCTGTAGATGACTATGGACTAGTTATGCATTCTTTTACAACCTAACCGAGGCCTTGATAAATAGAGTGAACTCCCAGAAATGGCTTGCTTTTATAATCAGTACTAAGTCTTGTTAATTTGGTGGGTCTATAGTCTATAACAAGATAGGAAGACCCCCTAAACGGATTTGTATCTTTTTAAAAGTGAAAGGAAAAAAAAAAGAGAAGGGATAGAGTTGGTGGTTCCCATGATATTCCCTCTCATTATATATGTTCTCCTGCCTATGTTGTCGCATTTAATGCAGGGCCAATAAACATTTTCTCATATTCCTTAAGATGGAGATTTCATGAAGAGTTGTATTTGTCTTGCTATATCTTGATTACATGAAGCTTTGCTGATCGAAATTAACATCGCTTGCTGAAAGTTTTCCTCTCTTTGAAAATCTCTTTTTTTCTTATGTTTTTTATAAAGTTTGTCGAAGTTCAAGGTCGCTGCATTCATTTATGCTTTTAACATGGTACTTGAAATCTTGTGATTCCAAAGAAGGGAATGTATGCATTAAGGTCACGAAGGTAAGAAGTGACATCAAGCAGCCGGAGATGTATACCTATGGCTGTCCTTGAGTCAAATAATCCCCTTGGATTTTGTGCGGAGAAACTGCGTGGTCATGCAATTTCAAAACGAATATCCTTGGGTTTCTATGGCTTTCGTGTATAGAAGGCAGTGTTTGTTTGAAACTGCCAATCCTCAATGGTAAATGCTGGTGGCTGTGCGAATTGGATATTTGGTATTTCATATAGTATATAATGGGATTGTTTACAAAAAGACCATTTATATTTGTATATAGAAATCACAATCATTTGTCTTTTAAATTTCAAAATGGATGATTGTAACATCCATTAGATACAATTCTAAAAAAAAGTCTTACAAACTTTGTCAGTTACCCCCGATTATCAAATTTCACATCTAATGAGTTAGAATGATTGTGATTTTTTATGTACAAAAGATAAAACACTCTTTTGGTAGATAATTCATAATATAATATGCATAATTTATAGTAAAAAGCTAAAATGGTTTATTTTGGTTAGTGCATTTTTTCTTTATGCGACCAAGGAAGTCGAGAACATTATATATTGCAAAGATTAATTGTATAAATTATTTAATTTTTATTTTGTTTTTTATTATTATTTATTTTTGATAAGAGTACTGCAATTTTATTCATATTAGTTGAAACAAAGGAATTACAAATCAGGTGCTGAAGAAGCAACCAAAGAAGAAAGGATGCTCGCTTAGCCAAGGAATCTGCCGTATCATTTGCTTCACAATAAACATGGTTGAAAGCAATCGTCTGGTATCCGTTGAGATCTAAAATTTCATTCCATGCAGCCCTCAAATTCCATGGAGGTCTCCTAAAACAATTATACCAGTTTATAATATTTAAAGAATCCCCTTATATAATCTAGCATGATTTGTCTCATTTTTCTTTCTCGTAAAATCTTAGGACGTAGTAAAGCCAACAATTCAGCTTTATTAGCTATGGCCTCCACACATGGGCCAGAGTATGAGTGCAAAACGAGACCATCTGAAATGGAAATAACCCCTCCAAATATGCCTTTGTTTTATTTCATCATATTTCAAATATGGTATCCATCGTTGCATGCACCTAAGGTGCTATGGATTTATTCCCTGTGCTCAATCCAACAACCCAGGGAGTGCAAGATGCCCACCAAATTGGTCTTAGGAGTATTGGGTTCCATGTTGATTCTGGGACACCCGTGGAAGAATTGGTCCTGGGGAGGGGGGAAGTGGGGTGTTAAGACAGGCATGTAAAACCTCCCCCATGACACTAGAAGTCCCAGCATCGCCCAAGTCTGTTTAGCTTCTTCAAGTGGGGTAACCTCATGCACACATATATTG